GGGAGGGGAGGGGAGAGAGAGAGAGAGAGAGAGAGAGAGAGACAGAAAGACAGAGAGAGAGAGAGAGAAAGAGAGAAAGAATATATATATATATGTGTATATATATATATATATGTATATATATATATTCAGATTCATGGAATTTCAGAGGGTTAAATTAAATAATGATGTATAAGGTACTGAGCATAAAGAAAATGCTCAGTTAATATTAGCTCATATTATTATTATTCTGCCTATGCTAACCTGATCTTGGAGGTCTAAGGCTAGAAATGTTTTGTCTGCTTCTCCATTTCAGCACTGAAAAGTTGACTTCATTTCCTGATAGCTAAAGAAAACAAAACAAAGCAAAAAGCAAATCATAGTAATATGTGCATATTTTGTGTATATAAGCATACATGAGTACAATAAGTGAATATTTATTTGAAAGTAATCTTAAATACATATGCTGGAAATCTTTCTTTTAATTAGGTTAAGTATGAAGTTATGCTTGGGATCCCTGTTTAAAGTTATAAAGATTGTAACAGTAAATGATATCTTCAGCAAGAGCTCTGTAAAGTAAAACTAAAAAAACAAAGATAACTTTGAAACAAGCTGGTCTGGGGAATCTGTTATCAGATAACTCTAAAAGGATTTTTCTGTAGGCATTTTCTTACTGACATGTGTTAGCACCAGGATAGACCTGAAGACTCTAGAGTAGTTCACCTCAGAACACACCTTACCACCTCACTCCAGTACTGTGCTAACAATGGACATTCCTAAACTCAACTTAATCCCAAGGAACCACAACTACCAGGGCAACCTCTGAGTCTCCTTTTTGAAACACTCCACTCCCTAATGCAATTCTAACATACATTTAATAGCAAAATCATTAACTTATTTGCTATATCTAGCAATATGTTGACAAATGTGCCTTTCAAAAATCCAGTGCTAGGTGGGCATAGTAGCACATACCTATAAGCCAGCATTTGGAAGGCTGTGGCAGGTGGATCCTGAATTTGAAGCCAGACTGGGCTACATAGCAAGACCTTGTCTCAAAAAATTAAAATTAAAATGTATCCAATGCCTTACCTGGGCACTGGGCTAGGGATAAATTCTCTAAATCCAGGACCAAGCCTTACAGAGCACTGGAAAAGTGAATGAAATTGCTCATGAAACCCAAGGAGAGAGGCACCATTTCATTATGATTATTTGAAAATGAGACCTCTGTTTCTCAAGAACAGATTAGCATGGGCAAAGGAAATTGGGTGTCTTCCAGGAAAACCAAGAGTTTCCAGTGATTAAAAAAAGAAGAAGAATCCTTTTACATATTTACCTAAAGTGACATGCTATACTGTCCAGCACAGTTTAGGTGCTCGGTACATTATATTAAATTATTAAGTATCAAGAATAATACATTGTGAGTTTAAACAGTGACTACTGTTTGAGTGCTCTGCTCAGCACTTTTGAGAAACAGAAGCAGCAGCCTTCCCAGGGAATATGAGATCTGAATGATCCCTGAAAAAGGACTGAGGTGTCAGTAGGAGGCAAAGGAGAAACAGCATTCCAGGCAGATCGCAATGTTCACAAAAGCATAGACACAGGAGATCTTGTCTTGTTTAAGAATTCCAAATACTTCTACATGGCAGGAGTTCCAGAGTTCCACAGAGAAAAGCCAGAGACCAGCACCACTGACTCCAGGTCACTGAGATCCTTCAGAGTGATTTCAGGAAAGACCATGATCTTGATGCCAAAGTGCAATGTGAAAGAGGTACAGTACCTTCCAAGTTGATAGAACACAGCAATGGAGAGAGACACCAGGACAGATACAATGAACTTCCTTGCTAAGTGAAGGATAACCAACATCTGCATTGAGATGATGTAGAAGAATGTGCCAACTTTACTCAAGATTTGACAGAGAAGGGGAAAGGGGTGTTAAAGGGAGAAAGTCATTTGTGGCTGCATGCAAGATGATGACAGCACTCCATGAGGAATTTTGAGGATGTAAGGAATTTGAATTCAAAAGGGCAGGGTAGAAATCACCAAGAGGTAAGGCCCTAGGGGTAGGAGAGATAGAGGAAAAGAGATAAACTGTACAAGGCTTGTAGTTCAACTAAGCAGTGTGGTGTTTTGGACAATGGCAATGGAAGAGAGGCATTTCCATCCATTTAACCTCCAACTCTATGTAGAAATTTTGTCCTGGGTCCCAGTTATCTGTTGTCTGTTAATGTACCTCTAGTTTAGGGGTAATCTACTTGCTTTGGCCATCACACATAGTCCTATCTTCCATTTGTGTTTGTTGTGTCTTAGTTGAAAAACTAAGCAATACTAATCACAGAATAATCCCGTACAATGCCTGATTGCTGCTTATGCACCATATTTTTGGAAAGCAGGTTCTCAAATTTGTCAAGAAAAAATAAGCACCAAGAGTCTGAACTGTTTTCATTATATTTTTACAAAACAGAAAACTAGAGTTAGTGTCTAATTCTGGGAAGATACATTTGCAAAATTCACTAAGGTAAATTCCCTGACAGTTTGATCTAACTATGACAAATGTCTTTCAGAAGGGGGTATTTTACCACTAGTGAAGTTAAATAGATACTTTTAAGTTTATAAAAGTTAGTGATTTCCATTTGCAGAATGTCCACGAACCTATAAAATGAGACTGACAAGGCTCTGCACAGTTGAGGGGAGTTGTGTGTGCAGTCATTAGCAACCATTGTGTCTGTATCCCGGTTATCTAAGCCACACTGTGGAAAATGATGTTGTTACGCTTTCATCTTATTGTCCCTGACAGCCAAACCCAGCCTTAGCCATCAGGATAAATGCGCTCAGGGTTATTTGTTGACAGTTTCATTCCATTAAGGAGATAATTACTGACGAAAGTGCCAGGACTTAGGAAGTTTTCAAATGGTATTATCTGATTTTCATTTGTGTGTTATGTTATCAATATAGCATTAGTTTCACTGTCACTGTTCCTTCGGGTGACTTTTACTAAACCAAAATATAATGGCAAGTTCTCTGCTTTCAGCCAGCCTACTTTATGCTCAAACATAATTAAAGGTATTATTTCCCCCAATACCAGGGTGAACATAGTCATATCCAAATCTTTGTTCCTGACTTGTTTAATCTTAACTTATTTTCTCTTTCAAAAATATTACAGTTCCAATTGCGTATATTATTAGAAGTTTGGGGAGGGCGTTTTAAGATATCCTGAGACCACTATATGTCTAAATACAGATGAGCTGGTTATTATATAATCAATAATACTGATTGTCTATTTAAAAGGCATATATAATTATTACTATACTTTACCATGAGGTTCTCAAGCTTCAGTGTACATCAGAATTTTACAGTTGAAAATACAAATTGTTGAGTTCCACCCCCCAGATTCTCTAATTTTCTGGGCTGGGGACCCAATATTTAAAATTCTAACAAGTTTCAAGATGAGGTCTGGAATCCACACTGTGAGAATGGGTGGGACACATTCTATATGTTCAAGTGAGAGTCCTTGTGTGATGAATATGCTTCCTGGGTGATTCCTGTGAACCTCTAACGACAGTAACTCTCAAGCCTGGGTTTCATAGTGTAATCACTTTTAGAGCTTAAAAAATGTAGAATCTTGGGTCCTAACTGCAGAGATTGTGATTTGATTCATTTCAGTGTACCCTTGGCAATGAAGTATTTGAGTTCCTCAGAGATTCTAAAGTGCAGCCACAGCCCTGGAAACATACACTATGAATAAACTCTTCCCAGTTTGTCTTTTCTTAAATTGTGTTCCTTAAGGAAATCTGTGGTCCACCAGGTATTTATAAGTATTTCCTCTAAATCTGGTCGAGCCAATAAATACTGATTAAATATAGGAGACTGTTTGACACCAAGATAGTATAGGGAAATATTCCTTCACATCACAGATCTTCCATGTGACATTTTACTAAGTCTTCTTTCTTCGGTTTTTAACATCTTTACAGAGACTATAATTCACATACTATAAAATTCACCTATTTAATCTGTACACTTTAACGGCTTTGCTGTTAAAAAGAGAAGTGTACTCATCAATACAGTCTAAATTTACATTTTTTATTACCTTAAAAAATTTCATACTTGTTCATCACCCACCCACTCACTATACCCTCTTCCTTCATCTAGAGTCAACTGCTAATCTATTTTCTCTCTTTACATCACATAAATGGAATCATAGAATATGTGATCTTTTTTTACTCATTTCTTTCAGTTAACATAATAATATCAAGATTCATCCATGTGATAATGTGTACTAGTACTTTACTTGTTTTTATTATTGAAGAATGTTATATTTTATAGATACATCATATTTAATTTATTCATTCATCTGTTAATGGGTATTTGTTTCTATTTTTTATGATACTTCTGTGAACATTCATGTGCAAAGGTTAATCAGAGCACAAGTTTTCAGTTTTCTAGAATTGGGATTAAATTGCTAGATTATAAGGTATATTTGTGTTTAACATTTTGAGGAATTGCCAACTATTTTCAAAGTGGCTGCACCATTTTACATTCCCATAGCAATTTAAAAGGGTTTCCATTTTCAACATTCATGATAATATTTATTTTATTATAGCTATGCTAGTGTGTGTGAAATGATATCTCATTGTGAGTTTTAGTTGCATTTTTCTTAATGGTTAATCATATTAAGCATCCTTTTCATGTGTTTGTTTGTTATATGTGTATGTTCTTTGGAGAAATATTCAAATCCTTTGCCTGTTTTTGATAGAGCTACCTAATTTTTTATTATTGGATTGTAAAGACTCTTTCTACACTTTTCATTATCTTTTATTTCTACATCTTTTCATTATCTCACATTTTTTTCTTTTCCCTTTTTACCCTTCCCCTATTCATCCCACCTTCCCTACACCTTTAGCCCTTTTCTTCCCATTTCATCATGTCAGTAGTCTTATTAGGATTTTCTGTATTATTGCAGATTATTCACACCAGAGAACTATTCAGTATTTACACATGTGTGCCTTATTTATTTCACTTAGGAGTATATCTTCAATATGTATCCATTTTCCTATGAATGAATCTATTTTCTCATTCTTTATGGCTGAGTAATATTCCATTTTATAGAAAAACCACATATTGTCTTTTCATTTTAATGCAGTTTTAGTGCTGTGTTATTTGAAGCACTTCAGGTTTTTTTTATGTAGTTTTTTTTTTCTTTTCTTGCTTGTGCTTTTGGGTATTACATATAAGAAATCATTACCTCATCAGAGCTCTTGAAGGTTTGTGATTATTTTCTTCTAAAAAATTTTTTTTAGCCTATGGTCAATTTTGAGTTAATTTTTTGTATGGTATAAAGAAGGGGTTCAA